TATGACGTCCATTTTTTAAAAGATGCGCTTCTTTGGGGAATCTGATTATCATCCAGAGAAATATTGACTAGCAAAATGGAGCATCTTATTGTTGACCAATATACCAAAGAGGGTTGGGCATTGAAGATTTAGACGTTAAAAACTAATCTCTGCTTCGTAATTGCCTTCTTAAACTACCGACTGGGGAATATAGCTAGCAATCACTTGTGCAGAATAAAGACTTGGGTGGCAGCTTACACCATATGTTTGGTCAAAGTCAAAGAGATAGACCCTTGATTTTCGAAGAGTCTTATGAGGGCCTGGGAACCTTCTCTACTTTGGCATGTTTCAGGCAAATAACGAAGAATGGGTTCACCATGTGCGGGCGTGTGGTGAGCAATCTCTAAATCTCTACTACTTAACATAAGGTTTTCATTTCATTTTTCTTTCCATCACCCCTTCGTTCAATCTTCCATGTATATGATAACGAATCATCTTAATTTATTTACCTTCTGAACCAATTTCACTTTAATTTATTTATCAAACTTCTAATCAAAATATAAGGTAATTCACGATCAGAATTTGATGAACGTTTATTTACATAATTGTATTATTATTGACAGGTAAATCACAAGCTAACATATTTGAATATTTATATCCCGTTGCAACGCAGGAGCATTGTTCTAGTCATTAAAAGGAATGGAGAGTGGGTTCTATTTTGGGGAAGATAAAACGGCTTGATTACACCCTGTTATGTACTGGATATCTGACACCTGGTCACACATTTTTGGCTAATGGCTTTGTGGGGCCGCATAAGTCTCTCCGGTCTTTCATACCTGTAGGGGTAGCAACAATCTTTTTGTTCATTTGGTTGGTTAGTAATGATGAAGTTGTCATTGACAGAAAATACTAGATTTTTACTGAATGTGTTTCTTTTGGTAGTCTAACCAACACCCAAAAGAACATTGTCTAGCAAAATTGAGTATCTTATTGTTCTCCAATAGACCATAGAGGGTTGGGCATTCAAGATATGTCCAACATTCCATGTACTCCCTCCGTCTCAAAATTCTTGTCTTAGATTTGTCTAGGTACGAATGTATCTAACACTAAAACGTAACTAGATTCAACCGTATTTAGACAAATCTAAGACAAGAATTTTGGGACGGAGGGACTATATGATAATTAATCACCTTAATTTACTTACCTTCTGAATTAATTCCACTTTAATTTACTTAGCAAACTTCTAATCAAAATATAAGATAATTCACGGTCAGAATTTGATGAACATTTATTTACACAATCGCATTATTATTGACAGGTAAATCACAAGCTAACGTACTAGAATATTTATATCCCGTTGCAACGCACGGACATTGTTCTAGTCATTAAAAAGAATGGAGAATGGGTTCTGTTTTGGGAAGATAAAACGGCTTGATTACACCCTGTTATGTACTGGATATCCGACACTTGGTCACACATTTTCGGCTAATGGCTTCTTGGGGCTGAATAAGTCTCTCCGATCTCTCATAACTGTAGGGGTAGCAACCGTGTTTTTGTTCATTCCGTTGGGTTGTAATGATGAAGTTATATTTGACGGAAAAGACTAGATGTTTATCGAGCGTGTTTCTTTTTTGGTAGTCTAACCAACACTGAAAAAAAACATTGTCTAGCAAAATCGAGTATCGTATTGCTCTCCAATAGACCATAGAGGGTTTGGCATTCAAGATTTAGATGATAAAAACAAATGCCTACTTTGTAAGTGGTTTTTAAACAACTGAATGAGGACGGGATATAGCAATCACTTATGTGGAATAAATACTAAGTCGGCATACCACGCTACCTTCAGTCATAGTCAAACCGATGGACTCCCATTTTAGGAAGGGTCTTATGAGGGCCAATGGGACCTTCCTTTGGCATGTTGAGTAGATGATGGAGAGTCTGTTCGGTCGTGGGAAGATAAAATGACCCGATTACATCCGGTCATTCAGTAGATATCTCGGACTTGGTGCAAACTTCACCTAGGCTTCAATAGGTGTTAGAAATGATATGCAATTGTTGTTTTTTTAGAACCATGCATACACTATGCGATGGTAGTAATATACTCCTCAACCATCTGTTGCCTTACTGCATCATGCACGCCTGCCACCACTTTGTGATCACCTGATGCCCTTGTTGTGGCTGCAATCTGGTGAGCCAGCTCGTTCTGAGCTCTGTTAGTCACCCTGATCTCAAATCTTTGGAAGGCATTTGAGGTTTCCTTTATGTCAGCTATGGTTGCACAGCAAGACGACTTGCAGGAATCCTTCGAGAGCAAATTCTGGCCCACTGCAGCGCAATCCACCTCCAGGATTATAGGTCCCCCATAAACGTTCGACAGTTCAGACATTCCCATCAGTACAGCAGCTGCCTCTGCCTCTTCTACCGAGCTGCACTGGTTCAGCCGGCGTCCGACAGACAAGAGGACAGAACCCCGATGATCTCGGGCTACTGCTCCTCCCCAAGTATCCCCTGAATCTTTAAGAAAGGCCGCATCACAATTGATTTTTACATACCCAATTGCAGGAGCTAACCAGCGATTATTTTTCAGGGGTGCAGGCTTGGGTGTGCTCTGATCAAAAAGTGTGGTTGCTTGCTTGCTATGAGGCATATTAGCTGCCTGTTCAGCCGCTAGCAAATCTTCGCCCAGTCTGAGTAGTTGATGCACTGCTCCCATGACAGTATCCTTCCCATCCCCATGGATGGTGTTGTTCCTGAGGCTCCAGGCTTTCCACAGTATTAACAGGATATTGCTTCTGATTCTAGCTGATTGTGACAGAAGGAGGTTCTGAAGCCAATCCTCTCCCGTTCGTCTGAACTCAACTTCCTTGGGGATGTCCCATTTAACTCTCATGGCAGCTCTCAACGCCCTGCTTCTTGTGCATGAGACAACTGCATGGAACTCATCTTCACTTTCCATTCCACACAAATCACATATATCTTCCTTCACAATGGTCCTTCTGAAGGTGTTGTGATTTGTTGCCAAAGTTTGGGTCGCCACTCTCCACCCAAAAAATTTTGTTTTCTCTGGAATGTTTGCTTTCCATATGACATCCCAAATGCTTCTGTTCCCGGGTTCACTCGACGAGCTAGAGGGAGCCTCCCTTCCATTTCTACTTAGAGTGACGCCAAGTTTGTAGGCGCTCCTGACAGTAAAGACACCAGACTTTTCATAGTGCCAAGCCACATAATCCTCTACTTGAGCAGAGGGGATTCGGATTTTGCAGATTTCGTCTGCATCAAAAGCATGAAAAATTCTCCTTATGAGGTCGATGTTCCATTCCTTTGTGTCCGAAAGCATTAGTTGGTTGACCCATCTCAGTCTGGAGCGGCTTATGAAATGCGCAGTTTTTAGGCCTTCGCCTCGTGGAATCCATTGGTCTCTCTCAATTTGGATACTAGAACTGGCCGTGGAATTCTTTCCTCAAATGTGTTAAACCTGAGCCCGGTTGTGTGTGTTAACATTTTCATAAATGAAAGTTAGGAGTGATGCTCCTTAACTCGAAAACCTCCACCTCAAAGTATGTGACACATTGTTTGGCTCATGGCTTCGCGGGGGTGGATAAGTCTCTCCGGTCTCTCGTATTTGTTGGGTAGCAGCGGTGTTTTCATTTGGTTGGGTCGTAATGACGACGTTGTCTTTGACAAACAAGAAAAGATTCTTACCGGCTGCATTTCTTTTGGTAGTCTGACCAACACAGAAAGAAACATTGACTACCAAAAATGGAGTATCTTATTGTTCTCCAATAGACCATAGAGGGCTGGGCATTCAAGATTTAGATGATAAAACCAAATGCCTACTTTGTAAGTGTATTTTGTGGACGGATATAACAATCAATTGTGCGGAATAAATGCTTTGTCGATAAATTCCACCACATGCGTGCAAGTGTTGTTCTTGTGTATCAATTGGTTGCAAACATGGGTTGTACCACAATGGACAAAACATGCATGAGGAGCTGATGGAGTTATTACCAGAAATTTTGTATCCCTAGTTTGGGTGATGTGCATGTAATAGGTTGCCCGCCATTTAGGTATGTGTTTCATCACTTTTTTACTCCCTCTATCTCATAATATAAGAACATTTCTGACACTATACTAGTGAATGAGGGAGTACAAGAGGCTAAATCATGTCTTGGGTGTAACTGTAATGAGTGGTTGTAATCGTTTGGCTATATGCATCAGATCAGAGTGGGGGTAATTTTGTCTCCACTGAAACAACATGCATGATGAAACGATGAGTGATTTTGTAGTGGGTTGTTACTATTTTTTTTTTAAAGGGAAAAACAGACAGATGGTTTTTTACATGATTCTCCGGCAGGTCATTCTCTGAGATAGCTGAACGGCCCAACCTGAACGCGACGTGACCACGGTCTCCGAGGTGGATACTGACAGTGATCCATCCGTCTCTTCCCAAGGTAAAATGGCGCACGTGCCGGAATTCACGTGGGCTCTTCCCTCCACCCAAAACGGATTCGTCTCGCCGGCCGTCTCCATCCGTTGTCCGTTCCCCTTCCCAGTTTCCGCCGAAGGTTCCTCCGATCGTTCCGGGCAAAGTACAAAAAAGTTCCGTCGATCTCGACCTCCGGCGCGGCGGCGCTCCGGCGAAGTGGCCCCGGGGCCGGGCCCAGCCGGGCGCGCACGCGCGCACGTGGCGCACGCGGGTCCACAGGTTGGTGGGCCGCGACCTAGCAGGGACGACGGATCAACGACGCTTCCCGGAAGGTGGAAAGCGTCTCACGGGGCCGGTCAGACGAGCCACCTTCGAGACCGCGACGCGCCGGACGATCCTGGCCGTCCGTCCCGCGTCCTTGTCGATCCGACGGCTGGTGGACGCTGTGGCGCTCCGTTGCGCTATAAATCGGACGCCGCTCCGCCGGTCTCGAGCTCCTCCTAGTAGCTCCCAAAGACGCAAGAAGAGCTGAGCTGAGCAAAGCAAAGCAGAGCAGAGCGCTCCCCTCCGGCCGGCTGACCCACTGCCCACTGCCATGGCGATGAGTGACACTGGCTCGAGCTTCGCCAACTGGACCGACGACCTCTACCGCTACGACACGCCCAGCCTGGGCGGCGCCGCGGCGGACTCGACGATCGTCGCCGCCTCCGCGACGCCGACGAGCCCGGCGTCGGCGGGGTCCGGCGACGGGAGCCCGTCCCGGGCGGCGGGCGGGGCCCTGGGCCCGCGGGTGGCGGGCAAGCCGGCGGCGAGGAAGCGGGCCCGGGCGTCGCGCCGGGCGCCCGTGACGCTGCTCAACACGGACGCCAGCAACTTCCGCGCCATGGTGCAGCAGTTCACCGGCATCCCCTCCGCCCCCGCCGGCCCGTTCTCCGGCACGCCGGTCATCAGCTTCGGCGGGGCATCCGGCTACGGCTTCGCGCCGCCGCCGCAGCAGCAGCAGCAGCAGCCGGCGGCCGCCCTGTCCTTCGACCACCACCACCTCCACCAGCGGCAGCAGTACACCGGCGCGGCATTCGGCTACGGCGGCAGCCACCTGCAGCACTCCCTCTCCGGCGGCGACGCGTTCGCGCACGGGCTCGGCGCCGCGGAGGACCGGATGCTCCTCCAGAGCATGCAGGCGGCGCAGATGCCCGGGGCGCGCGCCGCTCACAACAGCGCCAATGGCTACTTTGCTTGATCGATCAAGTGATTATTAACTAAGTTGCATGCACGGAGTGAAAGATTTTAGAAACGCGGAGAAGAATTGGCGTCCGATCGAGCTTCTGTTTGAATTTCTTGGCTTGTTTGTTCACTGTTCAGGGTAGTTCATCCATCACATGGAGCGCTATATGTAAATATTTGAACGGATATTTGGATTTTGCCTGTGATTTTGTCACTCTCGTGCGGATTATGATGCGCATTAATGGGAGAAACCGATGGATCGCTTGCATCTGTCAAAGTGATGGGAAGTGATCGGTGGGTGGATGGATGGATTGTTTTACAAGCAAGGTCTCGCGGCCACGGCGTGGGCTACGTTGCCGACGGCATCGATTGGCCGGCGGAGGAGGACGTGGGCCCCGCCGGCGGTACGGGGACATAATTGCATGCGTGCGAGCGTGACGAGATGGTGACGATCGGGGGTCGGAGTCAGACTTGTCATGCTGCGTGCAAAACAATCCAAACACTCGTATGCTCGCATGCTCCAACGATCAAAAACTCAAATTGAAATGTTTCAGAAAACTCTAAAAAAGACAGTGGACGTTCCCAAGACATGTGCCCACGTCCTCTACAAAGTTCAAACACAAATTCGAAATACACACAGAGAAACAAAAACGACAAATTAAGGATGAATAGTGTGCCAAAAAAGGCAAAAGCAAAACACCAGGGTTTCACGTTTGGATTTGCCTTTTGATTTCTCAAAGTGTATTTTGGTTTTCGATTTGACCTTTTTAGGGATAATAAGTAGGCACATGTCTTGAGAACATTCTTAAAAATTTCAGTTTTCTCTTGAAATATTCAAATTGGATTGTATAAAAACGGGAGCATGTGAAGGTTGGGAACACTAGATATTCTCCCCAAAGTTCTGCTCTATTCTATTCTCTTCTTTGACGAAAGAAGAAACTGCTACCAATTGTACGTGTAGATGTACCCAGTTGGCTTTAATTCGGGATGAGGTTGTATAATTGCACAAGGACCACCGATGCTCTCTTGGGCACTTTGGACCACTAGAAGCAAATTCACTATTGAGCATATTTTTCCTAACAGGCCGACTGACTGCTTGTTTAAAACGTTGATCTTTCTACAATAGTAGAAATTATTGACTGAGGAGGTTGATCGTCTCGCTTTGGAGGAGCTGACATCCAGAGTTCGTGCATCTGCTTCTTCCCTCGCTCAACAAACTGGCGCTACTTGAGGCTCTCATGTTGTCTTCTTTTGGGCTTCATTATGTTTTTTGGCTTGTTAGGTTGTCGGCCTGCCGCTTGATTTGGCCCGGTGGCCGTGTATTATCGTAAAAACCTTGCCCTTTTGAGGGGGTTGATGTTGTTTTGGTATTGTGGTTGCTACTCTGCATGTTGGCTTTATTTATAAAGTCGGGTGTATGTCTTTATCTAAAAATAATAATTGAACAAGGACCTGGTTGTGTTCTTATTTTTGCGGCACTAGCTACAGTGGAAGGGCGCATTTTTTCTAGTTAAGAAATAAAAAGTGTCAACGTTCGAGTCCTCTTTTTTTTTTACAAAAGACACATATAAAAAGATCAATTTTGCGCCTCCCAAGTATTGAAACTCCATCCAACTACAGAGAGTATTCAAACTTCGAACTCAGTTGCTTTCAACTATCAGTATAAGTTCTTTAGTTGCTTGTTTGGTTTGTTTAGCTCCCAAAGGTTCTTGACTTTTAAATTGCACCAACCCCTTTAGTCGACATTGTGTATCGTTTAGCAACTCACGGTAGGAATAATGCTTGAGCTCATAAATAATTGGGATATAAAATCTCCTTCATGTACACTAAAAATATAACATCTGGAAAAATGCAAGGTTGCACACATGCGCCCACCGTGAATGGGTTAACCATGAAATGCCAAAGCATGTGAAGTAGATATGATCACAATAAACCAAGAAAGGAGTGTTGTCGACAACAGAGGGGGGACGGGAGATTTCAAGACACGCAGTAACCGATACTCTCCACGCTTTTGTCATTTTATATCTAGAAATATCTATCAAGATTTTCCCCTCGTTAGTATGCTTCACAACCTTGTATCAGGGCCGGTCCGGAGTTTTCGGGGGCCCGGGGCGAACCTAGAATCCGGGGCCCTTTAGTATAAACAGCAACAAAATAACCAATATATGTTATATATCAGATGTAGCCAAAATCACTACAGCTATCTCTGAAAGCAAATGCCCCCTAAATTCTTTTTTTCTGAAAGCAGTACTCATATCAAATTGCATATGCACATATCTTAAATTTCTCAGAAGATTTTGTGATGCATCACAATAAATCTCATCCAGTAATTTTAATGGATTATATACTAGATGCCATTTACTAGGTGACATGAGATGCTGAAATTTGAAGAAATAGTTGGTAATTCAAAATTAGCTAGAATCTAAAAAACAATTAATAAAAGCTTACCGATTATAAAGTCAAACTCAGAAATTACAAATGCATAAAGCCCAATAATATGTTACTTAACAGTGTTCAATTAGTCGATGATAATCATTGTCCTGTTGAATAATGAAGACACGATCATCATCTATAATTTTTTAGAAATCCTTGAGGCATACGCTACCTTCTCTGATGGATTCGTGCCGTGGCCTCGTAGGCAGAGGGAGAATCAACTGCCACTGGGCGTCATTTTGGCATCCTCGTTGTTGTTTGCCTGACCTGTTCCGAGCGGCCGCTGCGCCTGCAAGCGCTACGATGACACATTGACGCGAGAGGTGATGGTGTCCAGGGCCGAATAGTCGATGCCGCTAGGCAATTCCATGGCGTCGTCAGGCGATCGAGGGATTAGGATTTCTTTTTGGATGATGGGAGATCGAGGGATTATATTAGGTAAGAAGAAGGCAATCATACCAATCAAGCTACGTCGCGCGTGTGATGGGGGTGGATTGCTGGAATCTTGGACGTGCAGTTGTGGTATCCAATTGCTATTTCGGTCAGGTCCAACACGGCAAGACACAAAACATTCTTTTTTTTCTTCTCTAAATACAGGCTTATAATCTACAAAAGTACACGTCCCTTGAGGGGCCCTATGTTCCGGGGGCCCGGGGCGGCCGCCCCCCCTGCCCCCCCCATCAGGACCGGGCCTGCCTTGTATCAAGATAGTGAGAATACTACAATGGACATGAACACATATAATACACATAGTACACCTAAGATGCACAAATTAATGCATTGTGAACTTATTACTTTATCCATAATTAGGAAGACAATTTTGTACTTAACATGTGGATTAAAATGTCCCAAACTAAACTAAAAAATCTATAGAAATTTGTTGTTACTCCAACACATATTATAACACACAAATGTAAATTAAATTGTATAGTGGACCTAGTATTGTGCAATAATAATGAACAACATGTTACCATTAGTTAATACTCCCTCCGTTCCTTTATCCAAGGTGTATTATTTTCGGCACGGTGACCAAGGCACATTATTATAGACGTGTTAGGACAAAATTACTCTTGGCAATTATTGGTTAGTGGCAAGTAAATCAGTTAGTCCAGGAAAGTAAAATATACATGCAATCGACATAGAGATAGTTTCCTTCTTTTACTACAAGGAGAGATATAGACAACCAGGAGAAAGATACTTTCCTTTTTCTAGAGAGCTAACAAGGGAATTATGAGGATTTAGAATAAATGCATCTTACATTCTGGAATTTTATCAAAAAACAAATACACTTTATATAAAGAAACGGAGGGAGTATAAGGGAAGTTATTTATTATTTTATCTTGATATTTTTATTTTTATATTATGAATTATTAATCAGATAGTAAACATGGCACAATAAATCACAACATTCTTATTTACTTTTTGACTGTTTTTAGAACATCTCTTAAATTGACCAAGATTGCACAATAAGTTTCTCCATATCCTGTCTACACAATAAAAATAACTATATTGAACTATGAATACTCATGAGGTAGAGTAGATCTTTTAGGTCTTCCAAATGAAAACAAAGAGATCAGATCATGGGCAAATATATTTTTAAATAACTATTAGCATATCTAATAATGACAATTTTAATAATATTTGACCGATCTCAATATACTCCTTGAGGTGATTCCGGGTAAATTCATGAGGATCCGTGATAAATTGAAAATTAGGAAGTTGTATTGATTATTTTTAAACAATTGAGGTGATTGGCACCCCTATTCTTTAGTAATTTTTAATTGATAGATTTCTTGTATACACAAAAATGATAATGATGTCTTTGTAAATACAATAGCTAAATGTACATGTGTTGCCACCGGAAAAAATATAATAAAAATGACATATAAAAATATAATAACTCACTTATCTCTATCCGACCCATTTGTTTATAATGCTAGTACGTTATAATTTTGCAATGCACCGCAGCTGCAGCTGCTGCTGGGTACTACAATATTTGCTTCTTTTTAGTAGTCGGAGTGACAAATCCTAATCTCGAAATACGCCAACCCAACATTTACCTTTGGAGACACCTGTAGAGCTCCTTTATAATCACCCAGTTACGTTGTGATGTTTGGTAGCACACAAAGTGTTCCTCTGATAAATGGGAGTTGCATAATCTCATAGTCATAGGAACATGTATAAGTCATGAAGAAAGCAATAGCAACATACTAAACGATCGGGTGCTAAGTTAATGGAATGGGTCATGTCAATCAGATCATTCACTTAATGATGTGATCCCGTTAATCAAATAACAACTCCTTGTTCATGGTTAGGAAACATAACCATCTTTGATTAACGAGCTAGTCAAGTAGAGGCATACTAGTGACACTTTGTTTGTCTATGTATTCACACATGTATTATGTTTCCGGTTAATACAATTCTAGCATGAATAATAAACATTTATCATGATATAAGGAAATAAATAATAACTTTATTATTGCCTCTAGGGCATATTTCCTTCAGTCTCCCACTTGCACTAGAGTCAATAATCTAGATTACACAGTAATGATTTTAACACCCATGGAGCCTTGATGCTGATCA